ATGCCTACAGTGATCCTCGGGGACCCAGCCTACCCGCTAATGCCCTGGCTCATGAAGCCCTATACTGGCGCCCTGGACACAGAAAAAGAACTGTTCAACTACCAGCTGAGCAAGTACAGAATGGTGGTGGAGTGTGCTTTTGGCCGTCTCAAGGGGAGATGGAGAAGCTTACTGACTCGCTGTGATCTCAGCGAAACCAATATCCCCATTGTTATAGCAGCTTGCTGTGTGCTCCACAATCTCTGTGAGAGCAAGGGGGAGACCTTTATGGCGGGATGGGAGGTTGAGGCAAATACCCTGGCTTCAGATTACGCCCAGCCAGACAGCCGGGCGATTAGAAGAGCCCAGCGGGACGCGCTGTGCATCCGGGAGGCTTTGAAAGCTAGGTTCCACAGTGAGCAGGGTAACCAGTGACTGTTAACTTTGTGGACACAGAAGCTGAACCTGCCCCCGTTTCTTTACCCAGTTTATGTTGACTATCCTCTCCACTTACATACCCCCTTCACCCACTTCCCAAAAAATAAAATCAGTTCTATTTTCTTAATGAACACCGTTGTCTTTATTACTGTTTTTGCGGGAATGTTTTAAACCTGGGATGCAGACTGTGGTGGGGGGCGGGTGTACTGTAGTGATGCAAATGATGCCTCTAAACTCCTGGAATGACAGGCTCCGCAGTGGTGGACTGGTTGTTTCAACGGAGCCTGCCAGCCGTCCTGGGCGGGACTGCGTGTATGTGTCGGCTATGTGACTTTCTGGCAGGGGGAGGAGGGTTACAGATCCCCTGCTGTGTGGCTCTGTGATCCAGGATAAGGACCGCTGCATAAGATCTGTAACTGCCCTCCCCCGCCACAAAGTCACAGAGCAAACCCCTCCCCCCCCCACAGAACATGAAAACCACCTCCCAGACTGACCAGGGTAACTAGTAACTGCACTGTGTATGTGCCCTGCTGCTGGACCTGCCCCCGCCTCTGTACCCTGCTAAAGGTGACTATACTGTCCAATTACCAACCACCTTCCCCCCCTTCACACAGACTCTCCTCCAAAAGAAAATGATGGAAACAGTAATTAACAGAAACGTATGTTTTATTAGTAACAACACATGAAACAGGGGGGTTGGAACTTGGACGGGGGCTTGTGTGAGGTGGGTAGGAAAGGACTTTTCAAAGTTTGGGGAATGAGAGCCTTCTAGTGCTACAGCACTCTGCAGGGGTGGAGTGAAACTTTTCACGGCCCCTGCCGCCCCTCCTTCTTTGGACTTTGGGTGAGGGGGGTATGGGACTTGGTGGCGGGGGAGGGTGGTTACAGATGCACTGCAGCGGGGCTCTCTCCTCCTGCCTCCGGTCCTGCAGAACATCCACAAGGCGCTGGAGCGTGTCCGTTTGCTCCCTCATCAGTCCAAGCAGCGTTTGAGTCGCCTGCTGGTCTTCCTGACGCCACCTCTCCTCCCGTTCCATGTTTGCTCTGTGCATTTGGGACAAGTTCTCCCTCCACTGTGTCTGCTGGGTTGCCTGGGCTCGGGAGCAGCACATTAGTTCTGAGAACATGTCCTCCCGCGTCTTCTTCTTCCTCCGCCTAATCTGCGCTAGCCTCTGGGACTGTGATGCCACGCTGGGTTGGGAGACAGTCGCAGATGTGGCTGTGGGAATGGGAAAAAGGGAGTAAATTCCTCAGAAAGATAAATGTAGTTGTGAACAAAGAACATAGTCTTTCTCTGTGAACAAGACCATGCCCTGCACCTATCACATGCGCACTCAGGACAAGGTCGAATTTTCGGCCCTTGCCTTCAGTGCCTGTGGTCTTGCAGTGGCGATCTGAGAAGCGGGGCAGGACACCGGAATTTGTGTAGCGGGCAAACATGGTAAGCCATAGACTTGTGGCTGCTTAAAACTTTAATAGTAGCACTGGCCTCCTTTCACATTGAAAGCAATGCCAGTCTCTGCTGTCAGCAATCAGGCAAGCATGAACTCTGCCCCTGTCCCACCCCCTCGCGGCTGTCCCAGGGAAAGATCCCTGTATGCTGCCCCTCTCCCGCCTCCACCGCGTGGCTGTAAAGCAGTCCCAATACTAACATTCCCCTACCTAATTCAAAGCAGGGCATCATGAGCGACATCACCCTGATGAGGATCTCGGACAGCGAGAAGGAACGGATGCTTAGGGAAAGCCTGCAAAAACCAGGGCCGTATGCCGCCATGCTCTGCAGGGCAATGATCCCTGAGTACTTGATTGTCTCCTGGCGCGGAAACGTTTCGTACCACGGAGGACCCAATAAGATCGCTCTCCCCAGGAACCTGATGAACAGGCTTGAACATTACCTCCAGGAGACCTACGTTGAGATCTCCCATGAGGATTTCATCTCTATCCCCGGACATATAGACCGGATTTTGGTGTAGATACACTGGCAGGGACTAAAGAGTGGAGCGTCTTGGGCAGCAGAATCATGAAAAACCGGACATTGTTAGATTTTTTTTAAATAGTTGGGACTAAATAGTTAAGCGCCTAAGGCAAAGAAATCATGAGAAACCCATTGTTAATATTATAAATATTCCAGTTCTGTTAAAAATAAATGTTTAGATGTTTAAATCACTTCATGAAAAACCCATTGTTAATATTATAAATATTCCAGTTCTGTTAAAAATAAATGTTTAGATGTTTAAAGCACTTACTGCTTGATCCTTCCCCTGATTCTGTGTCCGGGGTAATGGCTGGGGATCTCGGTAAGGGTGATGAAGAGCTCCTGGCTGTCGGGGAAATCAGCGGTGCAAGCGCTGTCGACTGCCTCGTCCTCCTCATCTCCTTCCTCATCTTCCCCGTCCGCTAACATGTCCGAGGAACTGGCCGCGGACAATATCCCATCCTCAGAGTCCACGGTCACGGGTGGGGTAGTGGTGGCGGCCGCACCCAGGATGGAATGCAGTGCCTCGTAGAAACGGGATGTGTGGGGCTGGGATCCGGAGCGTCCGTTTGCCTCTTTGGTTTTTTGGTAGCCTTGTCTCAGCTCCTTGATTTTCACGCGGCACTGCGTTGCATCCCGGCTGTATCCTCTCTCTGCCATGGCTTTAGAGATCTTCTCATATATCTTTGCATTCTGTCTTTTGGAGCGCAGCTCGGAAAGCACGGACTCATCGCCCCACACAGCGATGAGATCCAAGACTTCACGATCAGTCCATGCTGGGGCCCTCTTTCTAGTCTGCGATTGCACGGCCATCTCTGCTGGAGAGCTCTGCATCGTTGCCAGTGC